TTGGAATTTACGTTTATTAACAGGACAAACTGAACTAATGACATTATTATTAAATGAATCAAATGAATGGATAAAACAAGCAAAAGAATCTAGTCAATCTACTGGTCTTTTAATCAAATCCAATATAACTAATCTAACTGATTCACATTCTTCACCAACTTATTCCGATAAAGATCAATTAACTAATGAATTAAGTATAGAAATTCCTTTAAAGAATAAATCAATAATTGAAGATCATCTAATACAAAATCATCAAACTTCATTAGATCAATCATTAAGAATAATGAATGATGATGATGATAAAATGCCAAATCTTATGAATAATAATACAACAATATTAAATAGTTCATTATCACCTTTATTAGAAAGTTCCTGTACAAATCAATCTGATTTTATTTCAAATGAAACAACTTTAATCAAATCAAATCTTGTGAAAAATCTTTATTCATATAAGATTTCCACAGATATTAAACAAAAATCTAGATTATCATCCAATGAAAGCACAACAACAACAACAACAACACCAACAACAACAATTATGTCACCTAGTATCATTACAACAATAACTACTACTGCTGCTGCTTCTACTACTACTACTACTACTACTAACACTCATACTACTCATTTTACGAATATTATTAATAGTAGTATAAATAGTGTAACTACAACAACAACAATGACAAAAACACTACCAACTTATAGTAATTCATCATCAGGAAATTTATCAAAAATTAAAAATCGTTTTAATCAAGCATGGAAGAAATAAACTTCCGGTTTATGTGATTATCCAAAACATTTGAATATCAAAATGATTCATTGGATTGAAATACCCCTTATATATATATATATATATATATCACCTATATGATTCATAATAGATTTCCTATTACAGAGCAGAATAAACAAACTGATCAAAGAAAAGAATTATTATACATTTGTGATATTAGCATAATAAAAGAGTATTCAAATTGTATAAAAACAATTTGTTAAATTCCAGTATTTCAGTATTTGTAAACAATTAGAATAATTGAGTGATTAATTTCTCCCTTATCCCTACCCCTCGACCCTTCCCCCTGCATTATGCATGAAATGTTATATAATCATACTATAATAACAATGTAAACATTGTACACTTAATTGATTCAGATTATATGAAAAATTGGCAGAAGGGAAGGACCTCTATTCTATAGTATATATATATATATGGAGAGAGGGGAGAGATTAGTATCCACGAAAAGTACATGTGAATAAATAGATCCAAGGAATATTCAACATTCTTCTATATACATAATTAAACATTATACATCTACATATATAAATATACAATAATCTTTTTTCAGATTTGATGCATTTAATTATAAATTGAATTTCATTTTGTGTTGGTCAGATTTGTTTTTTTTTCTTTTTTTTTCTCCTTTTCCTTTCTCTTCTTCTTCTAATTATGACTTAACCGTCATCATTTCGTCGTCTTCTTTTCTTTCCCTTTTAAACTTTCTATAATTTAGTTTCATTTACAAATTTATTGACAAGCACTTTTTTTTCCTGTTTCTTCTTCTTCTTCTTCTTCTTTTGTTTTTGTCCAAAATGAAAAACTATCAAACTATTACCATTATTAAGTTAGATTGTTGGATTGTTTTCAGTTTGTTTGTTTTCTCTTTTACAATTAAATGATCAATGAACAATGTTTATTATAAATACAGAATATACTGTAAACATGATTCTATTATAATTTATACACTACAATACAATATTACACGTTTTATTTCAATACTACTCATGAGTAGTAATAATTATAAATTCAACTATTTTTTATTGAAATATAAAACAAAATATGTAAAGGGAGAGAAAGAGAGAGAGAGAGAGAGAGTAGATAAAGATTTCAATCAGAATTTATTTCTATTCTAATTCATATACATTTTAATTATTTACATTGAAAATGAATTTGTGTATCCGTTAAAAAATGTAAAAAAAAAAAAAAGAAACAACAACAACAACAACAACAACAAACCAAAAAATAACAAGATTTTACTGAAATCTTATCTTAATTATTATCGCTTATTGTAATGATCAATTAAGATTGCTTGTTTTATTTATGTATTTTGAAAAAGTGAGGGTGGAGGTGGTTGTCGTGTAGAGAAGAGGAGAGGACAGGAGACGAGAGGATAAATACTATGAGCATAATTGAACAAGAATATATATATATATATAACAAAAAGATCATAGATTTTTTAAAACAATGTTTTTCTTTAAACTCATTTGGCATTGTTTGTTTGAATCCTTTCATTGTTATTTAGGACTGCAATTGATCAGTCTCATGTTGGCATATATGCATCCTGTGCGGATTGCCTCGATATTGCTTTAATTCACAAACATTATAAGCAAAGATGGTTTAGTGGCTAGCAATGGAATCTAGACAGAGCTGAAACTTGGAGAACTACTACAACCATCATCAAGAAGGTTCAGTATTTATAAATAGTTGTCTACGCAATATACTCAACATCCATTGGCCGGATACCATCAATAACAACCTACTGTAGGGGGAGAACAAACCAGCTTCCAGATGAAGAGGAAATGTTGAGAATGAGGATGGAAATGGATAAGACATACATTACGCAAATCGTCAAACTGCATTACGAGGCAAGCCCTAACTTGAAATTCTGAGAGGAAGTGGGAAAGCGGAAGTTCAAAGAACACATTACGTCGGGAAATAGAATCAGATATCAAAAGGATGAATAACAACTAGAAAGGGCTGGGAAGGATTGCCCAGGACAGGGTTGGATGGAGAATACTGGTGGGCGGCCTATGCTCCTTCACGAGGAGTAACAGGCGTAAGTAAGTGGAATCCAGGACGCGCATTTCGTCCCACTTGGGACTCGTCAGCCGGATTTACCTGGTGTTTATCTTCTATTAATAAATAATTAAACAAGATAGATATAGGTTTATACTACTGATACTTGACATATTGTAATTTAGATTTCTAAAAAATTGATGATTTCGACCTACTGAAGATGTTCAGTAATTACTATTGGTCATTTATACGTACTGAATTATCAATACTGATGAATTAGACTTTTTAAGCAAATTTATTAACGCTAACTTATCGTATAACCAGCTTATTTGCATATAACGCAATCATACTACACATACGTGTATACATGATAGACTGATATATACGACGAAAATCAAAGTTTATTCAACTAATGGTTGATTTGTTACTTCCTGAAGTTCACTGAATCATTTCATGGTAAATATAGAAAGTAGGTTTACAGACAGTTGGTTATCATAGTTACCAAATAAAGGTCAAGTGAACGTAAAATATTCGACAAGACTGTCAACCTCTTAACACCGACAGGAATGAATCGAAATATTGATTAGATTGTTAATAAGGAAATAATTCACAAATCAGGATACTTAACGGGGTTAGTTAAAATTATAAAACATTGACTGATTTAAGCCTCTGGATGGCATAATAATGGAACATAATATTCGTTAATTGATGTGACCACACTAATTAGCAGGAAAAACAGTGGTCATTTGTGACAGCTAGTTTAAATCTGTATAGAATTCAGGTATAGGCTCAAGTTCAATTATCATTTCTATATAAAACAATTAAAAATTATCATATGGCAGTATGTATTCTGTTAAGTTAAATAAGAAGTTAGATCGTAATTTTAGAGATATGAATTTTATCGAATTCCAAATCCCCCATTAAACGGCAGTATACTTATTAAATCGCCATTTTCAGCTGCCTCATTTTTTCCTGTAACTGTCATACAAATACGATTTCCTCACACCTAGTTCATTATCAAATATTCATACAATAATACGGCAAATAGAAAGTATGACAAACTTATTATCACCAACACAGACGATCGACTGTCATCTTGGTCTTTTATCATGTTACAATCTTCACGATCTCCACTGAAACGTCTGATCTAATATGTAACCTCCATAAACACCTCTCAATACTTGATCAACTTCTTGTATTTCTCCCCAAAAGCATTTAGTAGTTCAGTTCACACACTTATTGGTCATAATATTATACCACTTCTTTTCGGAAAACATATCGCGAATGCTAAAAAGAACTAAAAATTTTAATAATTCACTGTTTCATATATATAGTTTATTGGGATACAAAAGTACGTTTGTTGAGAAGTTTTGCCTCGAAATGCGGTCATAGTTGGTAAAGGATAACGTCGGAACAAAGCTAGGGGCAGATATACTAAGAAATGATACTAGTTCATCAAGTCATTAACTGTTGAATAAAGTCGTGTTGGTAGGTGCAGGTTATTTGGATGAGGTCCTTGTAATCAATGGTTCGAAACGTTGGATGACATGGTTCAGAACCAGTCACAATGGTGTGTATGGTATCACTATCTTAAAATACTTATTATTTTTATGCCGAGAAATCATTCTTTCTCCAAGCATTATATTGCTTACGTCTAGTGTTTCTTATTCCTTCTAAAACTCTGGCATTTATCTTGATAATTTTATCGTGCTTTGATGATGTAGTGTAAAAAAAAAAGACCGATGTATATGTGCTTGGTTCAATGTTGCCTATGACTGGCTGGTAGTGTGGATAACTATCGAAATTAATAGACCTGTGGGGAAGCGGTGCAACACCAAGAATTATTGGGTATTATGCATTAAAAACTGTGCTAAGGTGGTATGGCAACTCGAACTGATGTACGTACGTACGAAGTTCTACGTTGTTACTGACTGGCTGACTGACTGATTAAAAACTGTCTATATCATCCGATCAGTCAGAAGTGAAAAGAGTGACCTTATGTTGAAACAATTTAAATATGTGAGTAGGGTAATCATGTAACTAGCCAATATTTTGTTAAACAGTGCAAAAATAAAATCTACAGAATAAAATGAATCCATTTTATTTCATGGCTTCTCGCTACAAGGAGTAATATGATTATAATGATGGCTTAACATATTGTAGTCAGGGAAGTGTAGATGAATATTCAAAACAGAACCAAAATTCATAGGTAAAAGAACAAGATATGATATATTTGATTGAACATAGTTAAGGTTAACGAATATCTACATATTAATAGTAATAACAATAATAATACAAAATAAAGGGGGTAGTGCCATAGTTTCTAATAATCAGACGTTTTTTTATAAAAAGACTATACAGTTGTAGTGGAAATAGTAAATTATTGTACAATTGTGTAGTTGGAACATGTCAAATTTATATTTGAGCATCAACGATATCATGCAAGACAGAAAACTTAAAAAGATCATTTGATTATACAGATACGTGTTCGTAAACTTTGGTAGAAGCTTAAACACATTCCAAGGGACCTGTCTGAAAGTCAGTAAACTCCAAACAAGTTCAATCGTCAGGGTCCTGATGGACACAAAATCAAATTTAGCCATACATTCAAAATAATTAATAAGGCGGTGAACCTTTCACTTGCCATGGTGACTATGATTGTAATCGAATAACCCTTTTAAGTTTTCACGCTTATAAAGTCTTATTAGTGTTCAAATACTGATTTAATTTGAGTTCTAAATATAGAATAATTTACTATCTTCATCACAATTCCATAATTCTTTCTGGAAATCTGACTATTAGCAACCGTAACATCACCTCCTTTATTCTGGATTCTTACCATTATCTCCAACATATAACTATTAATCAATCTTAACTATCAAAAACACAAGTTCAGTGAAGAAATATTTCTCTTCAATTAGTTCTTTACTGAAGCGTTACACTAATTTATAAGTTTTGTAGTTAAAAATAAAAATTATCAGTACCAAACAAATGGCTATTGGGGTATGGCAACTCGAACTGATGTACGTACGTACGAGGTTCTACGTTGTTACTGACTGACTGACTTACTGAATGGCTATTGTTCAGTTTAACAATATTTTCTTTAACACAGTAGAGTTAGAAGATCAACAAGAGTAAAAGATATAACAGATTTAAAGACAAGGTTATGTAATCGGTTGATAATAAAAATCCAATCTGATACAAGAAAGAAAAGGTTGCAAACACACACAAACACACATACAAAATACACCATGTACCATTTGACAGTAAATAGACACTAAATATAAACAAATTGTCTTACCAATCTACAGGAGAAATCTAACAATTGACCACAAGATACTGGTTAATTAAAATTTTAAACCATTTTAGTTATTATAATGATTAATCTTATTAGAAAACACAAAAAGAGAAAAAAAAGGGGTACTATGTCCATGGTAAAAAATTAGGATGTAAAATACAGCCTATAATAGCATAACTTAAGAAATAACAAAGCACAATACGATGTTTTACTAAATGATATTGAAAAGGATTTAATGCTTTATAAATATCTACTAAATAATGATACAATTCAAATCGAATATTGATCAGAGAATTACTATAGTGTTTATTCATTATTAATGGCTCGAAATTAGGCAACGTTTCACAAAGAAGATATGCACAAAACCAGTAGATAACAGGACAGGATGAAAATATCATACGTGTTAACACCTATGAAACAGAAAAATAAATGAGAATGAATATATAGGAGTTGCGAATGTGAGTCATTCAATGAAAGTAGTGAAAAACTATTTGGTTGATATGTGTACAAGTAAATATAACCACTTATATACGCTTTACAAGTGACCTGACCAACTAATTGGACTTTCTAGTTAAGAATTATAGTTAAAAATAAACAAAATAACCGTTACCTTTATTTCGGGTAGCGGGATGGAACATACTAAACACTTTAACCATTTCATCCTATCAGCTTCGATGGGTTAGCAGCTGACAGAATCTTACCACGCTCGGGTTTTGTCGATTTGTATTACCTGAAGGGAGGATGAGATATTTATCTGACTATCAAAGTGGTTATACTGAACAGTAGCTCGCCCACTATTGGTCTACGACGGCAAGGGTACATGGTATAGGTTGTTAGGTTTTGATCATCAGTCAGTCAGTAACAACGTAGAGCTTCGTAAGTACATACATCAGTTCAAGTTGCCATACCACATTAGCACAGAGATGCAGTCGCCGACTCAAATCCCATAGTGGTAGAGGTAGTAAGATTATAAGCAGTAATCTGAAAGATTAGGGTTTGAAGATGTTATTTAAAGAGTATAATCCAGTGAAATAAATTTGGAAAGAGGAAAAAAGAAAGGGACATGAAGAATTCAGAAGATTAGAATTTGGAAGAACATAAAGAGTGGATGCACCTGCGCCATCGCAAACGATGTTGAGCCATGTCATTCAAGGTCTATAACCATCGGTTGCTATCGTCTTGCGGATCCCAACCAGGTATTCTAAACCTACCAAAATGGCTCAGTCCACTTGTCAGTGGCTTCATAGATTTGTACCATGTTTTGGTCTGGCCACCCCTAGACTCCCAAAGTAAGTGAAGCGGTCGACACGCTCAACTACTTCACTCCCTATCAGTCTTACCGTTCTTTAATCGACCTGCCTGGTATGGTAGAACCTACAGGAACATATGTTCCAGCCAATATAGCCCGATTGGGTCATCACAACAGGCAAGCCCGAACACCACATCAAGGTAGCAGCTACAGTCGGGAGGTTTTGATCATAAGTGCCTTGAAACCTCCTTATGTGTATAGTGAAACAAATTAGTTAGTAAAATCGAGAGTAGGTCTTAAGAACTAAGTAGTTATGGTAAACAGGTTACTGTGATTTTGAACCTCATCGACCAGGAAGGTTGACATGTCACAAATAACCACCCAGCATCTGCCATAATGCGATGAGCTGATTAGTATAACATGGAGCTGAACAACAGCCAAAAGCATGCAAACTAAGACCCGATACATGTTCACAGAGTTTATAACTGTCATTCTGAGCTAAGTATAAAGGTGTAAGGTCCTTGGTTTTGGTTTACAAAATGATCGTGATTCGCAGTTGGACTCCTCACCAGCGGGTATCCACGACCTTGCATGTGACAATCAAACCAAAAACCTTCAGTTTCGCACGCAAACGCTTATTCACTAGGCCACTGAGCGGGCATCCAACGGTGATGATGTCTAACTCCAATCAATGCGCTAGAATATGAGCTACTAACATCACTAGCCTTAGTGTTACATGGACATCTGAAAGATAGTTGGTGCGAAGTTTGAACTCTAAGGCAGAAAATATAGAACCAATCGTTCGATATTTCGTCTTAACTGACTAATAACCATAATATAAAGCCCAATCACCTCCAGAGTACTGAATCTACTAGACACAATGAATTACTAGTTTCGGTAGCACAACTTCTGTTAATTCATTAGGTCAAGTGATATAATTAAACAAACTTAAATAAATAAAAGTACTCTTCGGTAAAAATTTACTTGCCAGTAAGTACTCTAACATATTTCGAAATCATAAAATACTTCGATAACAAGCGCATAACATTGTTTACTTAACTATAAAACTCGAGTAACTTTACGACTGTCAAATGAGCCATATTGGTAAGAATAATCAGCTACCCACAAAAATTTCCGCTGGAAGTAATGAGCGGAATGATATTTGCGAATCTCATTCAATATCAAGTTACGAATGCTTGGCGAAAAATTCTATCCGCATTAAAGAACATATAGTAAATGTTTAAATAACTGAATTAGATAAATAACCAAAACAATCACAAATATTGTAATGCCAAATGTCAAGATGTGTGTAAAAAATTTTAAATTAAAAGCACAACTCACTTGAACATTTATGTGGAGAACCCCGTAAGAGCACAAAAACAGCATATGAAACACATACGGCACCATGATACGGTCCATTTCGCATTCTGCACATAGCCCAAAGGTTCTATATGCTTTTGGAGCTCTTCGGTAAAACATAATCGCACATATAAAGCATAAAGTAACTACGGGTAAGGACAGAATAAAATTTGGAATTTGCCGTAGCTGGTAATATCCCCACAGCCCAACATTCCACTGACTCTTTTGTATATGAGAATATGAGAATGGCGGTGCAAACGAACACCAAACTGGTAAGTGAGAAGAACTAGATTCGTTTGTAAGGCGAACTGGTATTGAGAAGCCATGGTCCAGGCCATAGGTAAGCAGTGGTACAGGAATTTTTGACGGAAATACAGTGTGAGACGATTGCACGCGAGAACAATATAAAAAGTAACCGTAGGTTTGATACAATAAAAAAGGGAGAGAGCATAAAAAGAGTAACACAAGGCGTGGCATGAAGAAAACAACAACGTTGACCCACCACTTGATGGACAAGAGCAAGAAAGATATGAAGGACTTTCTGGTTTTTTGAACTTCATCTATCCATATTAGCACCCGGAAGTTTGAACGAACGACCATGAAGTAACCTAAATATCCTATGTTTAGCAACCCATTGCTTCTGCACATAACAGAAAACGCGATTAACAAAGAAGACAATAAGATCTTCTTGACATACATAAAATATAACCCAGAAACGGTAAAAAAGAAAAACAATGACTCAGAGTAAAGTGATGAAAAGAACACTGTAGCTGGATTACAACAAAATAGTAACGAAGCAAGAAAACTAACTTTTACAGAACCCAATATCATAACTCCTAGGCGATATAAAAAAACTGCGGAGGCTAGATTTAAAACAAAGTTTGACAAGAATCCACATAAAAGGATTGAAGAAGATAAACTCAGAGAATGTACACTAACTCTTAAAGCCAAACGACCTAATAAGCCTAGTAACATGGGAAAACCAGGGAGAAAGACGAGGCTATTTTCAAAGATATAACCGTAGTTTGCGATGAAAGTAAAATAAATGCAATCCCATTTGCAAAACCCCTGAAAGAATATTCGGGTAATCTTATCCACCCATCCAGCGTAAGGTTCCTCCGGGGGTTTAAAAGCGTCAGCAGCATGATCAGGAAGAAGACTACTGAAAGACTAAATGCGTCTTATGGAAAGAAATAATAGTCACTTACTATTATTAACGCAAAGACCGACCTCAAAACAAACGCACATTTCAGTAACGAACTTTCTACCTTAGTTAAACCAAACATACGCCAGCGCCACAACCCTATAGGGTTGAAGTTCATAAACTTCAAATTTCATTTGCTATCACTCATTTCCAATATCTCTAATACCTTTGTCGCAAGCTTGTATAAGCCAATTGACTTCTTTGCGCTCGTATATTGTTAGTCCGGCGAGGTTCCATGGCAGTGATTTTTGTACTTGTTGTGATTATACTTGATTTTGGTACTTATTGCACTAAAAAGCATTCTTGGTCTACTTTAACTAAGAGTTCTTTGGTTAAAGTTTGAAATTTTTTGCTAAATTTTGTCCTGAGTACCTGTTTTTAGTCCTTGACTAACACTTGTGTTCACATTGTTATCATTTTTTGTTTTTAAACCTTTTAAATCGAATTACAATGGTTGGTGAGACTCACAAATGTGGGCAACCAAACTGTTTGTTCTCCATTGAGGAGGGAATGCAGTGTGACGATTGTAAAAAGTGGTATCACAAAATGTGTACACGACTAAGTCCGATGGCTTACAAAAGATGCTCGAAGCCTAACTCGCATTGGCTTTGTATGTTCTGCTGTACGGATAAAAAGGTACTAATACAGGAGGCTATGGGCCTATTGGCTTTGGCCTGCAAGAAAAACGATGGCGGAAGCACTGATAACAGGAGTACTGATGATGAAGAATATGTCAGTGTAGTAAGTGCTGCTACTGGACCCATTAAACACCTGACTGCAGTTGACGGGAACGTGAAATCTCCGTTGACATTAACGAGAAATGAAGTATCGCCTGATATTGACATCGGCAGTCATACACCTCTAGTCGAAATCGAAGATCCGGATAAAACTGTCACCGTTCCACATAGTCCAGGTGTGGCTGTTCTGAGTGGTGACAAATGGACTCCGGTAAGAAGAAAAAAAAATAAGAAGAAAAAGGCTGTAGGCGAAACGCAGCTGGTCAGCAAGACATTGGAAGGGACTTTATCAGAAGAAAAATCCTCACCGCGTGACAAGACAGATCTCTCTGATAGATCAGTCATTTTTCATAAGATAAGAGAATCTTCAGATACTGAACCAAAGGCAAGATTTGAACATGATCTCAATCATATTAAGACATCATTAAATAAACTACTCCCAGATACAGTTTCAGGAGTTAGTATTTGTAAGCGTTATAGAATAGGAAAAAAGGTGGACTCCGAAAGTCCTCAGAAAAACTGCCTCCTAAAGGTTACATTCAACACGGTGGAAGAAAGGAACCTGGTTCTAAGTAATTCACGTAAACTGATTGGGTCCGGAATATATGTCCGTGAGGACCTCAGCCTAGCTGATCGTATTAAGAGAAGGGCTGCAGAAGCGGAAATAAACGAGCGTCGCCGAAACGGTGAAAGGAACATCGTTCTTAAGGGTTTTCAGATTGTAAAAGTTCGGAGCAAAACGACCCCCAAGCCACTCTGAGTGGCAAGGGAAAGCTCTCCACAGACTTAAAAGTGTGCTACACAAATGCTCGCAGCCTACTAAATAAAATGGCGGAGCTGAAGTCAGTGGTGGATAAAGAAAAACCGGACGTTATCGCTGTCTCGGAAACTTGGCTAACGTCAGAAGTATTAGATAGTGAAATCCAATTGGCTGGTTTCATAACCAGTAGGGCTGATAGATTAAACCGAAGGGGAGGCGGGGTTATTGTGTACACGAAAAGTACCCTAACCATAAGATTAGCTGAGACAGTAGCACATGTTTCAGGGACATGTGAACTGGTAAGATGTAAGTTGAAATGCCGAAGACAAGATATTGAATTAGTTGTAGTTTATCGCAGTCCAGAATGTGTAGCAGATGATTTCCTCCTAAGTAAACTTAAGTCCTGGTGTAACAACGGTAAAAGCCTTGTAGTAGGCGACTTTAATGCACCACATATGAACTGGGTTAACTTAGAAGTAGGGTCATCCATATCGTCGTTCGGCTGCAAACTGTTAGAAACCTCGATTGGATTAGCATTATACCAACACATTAGAGATCCCACAAGATACGATTTAAGAAACTCTTCCTCTCTTTTAGATTTAGTCTTCACACACGGTGATGACGTTGGTCAACTGGCTTTTCTCCCACCACTTTGGAGAAGTGACCATGCAGTCATCTTATTCAAATTCATGGCTGAGATTGCCTGTCAAACAGTTACACCGGCCCGTCCCAACATATGGAAGGCAGATGTGAAGGCAATTAACTCCGCAGCATCGGCTGAAAACTGGGAAATTGACTCAAAGGCATCAGTACAAGAGGCATGGACTCTATTCAGACAGTTATACAATCGGGTAACTCAACCATATATACCCTGGACTGTCCCAAAGAAAAAGAAGCACGCACATCCCTGGTTAGGGCGGCATATTCGACGCTTACTAAGACAAAAGAAGAAATGCTGGGATGTTGCCATCCGCCTTGGCACAACAGGTACGATGGAACGCTACAGATCGATAAGAAACGAGTGTATAATTAAAATTCGGGAAGCTCAAGGAAAATATGAAATGCAGCTGGCACAATCTGCACTCAAGCAGCCCAAGAGGATATTCTCGTACATAAACTACAGAACAAGGATTCATCATTGGATTCCCAACCTAATTAAAGTAGGAAGTGAATCTAAAATGATAGAGGAGGATCAGGAAAAAGATGAGGTTATAGCTGACTACTTTGGGGCAGTTTTCACTCAGGAACCTCCTCTAGAGAAAGAACCAGACCCAATTACAGAGTCAACAAACCAGCTGCTCACTGTGGACTTCGACCAAGAAGATGTGCTTAGGGCTCTTAGCACCCTAAACATGGAGAAGTCAACAGGACCAGATGAACTACACCCTAAAATCTTGAGACATATTGCCGAATATATCGCAGCCCCACTGACTGTGATATTCAAAATGTCACTTGACCAAGGTGTGTTACCTATGGACTGGAAGGACGCAATCGTCACTCCCATACATAAAACAGGTCCACGACAAGTTCCATCGAATTACAGACCCGTAAGCCTCACCAGTGTTGTAATTAAAATACTGGAAAGAATAATCAAACGGACCATAACGGCATTTATGGAAACCAATAACTTGCTGAACATGGCACAACATGGTTTTAGAAAGGGTCTATCCTGTACAACGAACCTCCTTATAGCTAGGGAGCTCTGGATTAATGCGCTAGACAACGGAAACTCAGTGGATGTTGTCTACATAGACTTCAGTAAGGCTTTTGACAAGGTGCCAACTAATAGACTGCTATTGAAGTTGGCAAACCTTGGTATTGCCGGACCTCTTTTAAAATGGATTAAGGACTTCCTAGTAGGTCGTAGGCAAAAAGTAAAAATAAATTCCAAGTGCTCCATCTGGAGACCGGTACTTAGTGGAGTACCCCAAGGTTCCGTCTTAGGTCCTTTACTTTTTATAATGTACGTTAATGATCTTACAAGTATAGTACAGTCTCCGATGTTATTATACGCTGACGATGTAAAAATTTGGCGAGTAATAACTGGAGACATAGACGCATTTACTCTTCAGGCGGACTTAAATAATATGATAAACTGGTCTAAAGAGTGGCTAATGCCTATCAACTCGGAAAAGTGTGTCTACATGCACTTGGGGGATTCAAAGGTTAATACGTACAACATAGGGGATGTGTCATTACCCGTAGTCCGGTCTCATAAGGACCTAGGGGTGACAGTGAGCAGTGATCTTAAGACGACGGCCCATTGCCGGGAGGTCGCAGTTAAGGGGTTTCGAACCCTCTGGGCTTTAAAAAGGACATTCACTAAGCTTGATACTACCATGTTCACCACATTATACACATCCTTAGTGAGAACTAAGTTAGAGAACTGTGTTCAGGCTGCAAGCCCCTGTTTAAAAGGTGACTCAGACATACTAGAAAAAGTACAGAGGGCAGCTACGCGTGCAATTCCGGAACTCCGGTGTTTATCATATGAAGAGCGGCTTGAAAAACTGAACCTCTTTACTCTGTCCTATCGCAGATTAAGGGGAGATCTAATATTGATGTACAGAATACTGAGAAATGATTTCGGACCTAACTTATTCTCTCTCTTTTTTCCCACTAGATCGGGACACCTCAGAGGACATAGCAGGCGAGTAGAAAAGCCAAGAACGAACAAAATACCCGTGGCATACAGGTTTTCACACCGAGTCATCAATACTTGGAACCTGCTGCCTGAAGCAGTGGTATCCGCACCTTCAATTGACTCTTTCAAGAGAAGACTGGACACTCACAGAAGCATACTAGAAAAGGAATAACATAGGCTGTAGGCCTTCTGTCCTTACTACACAAATCTGAATCTGAATCTATTTGGCAATGTTAAGTAGTTAGTAGTCTAACCACCCAAATCTACTAGTTCGAATCAGTCTGGTACTTATTTGTGGATTTTGATATCTTGTAGTTCGATTGAGCGCGTTTGTCTCAGGGCAGTAAGAGTCCTGGATACCAACAACTATCATATTACCAGGTAGGTGGTTGGGTGATTGTAATATGAAAATAAGGAAATGACTTCCATATAACTGTCAGTCACAACCATGCGTCAGCCCAATCCAGACCTAACGTCTGGAAAGCCAATATATCAGGTATCATGTACTCAGCATCATTAGTAGATTGGACAATAGACCCAGAGTCCTCAGTTGAAACATCACTAGTGGAGGACGACTTTGGTAAGGCTCAAGTGTTCTCAAACTACTTCAGCAATGTATACACCATAGAAGCACCCTTCCCATCAGTGCACACAGATCCACACACATACACTGGATAGCGTGACCATTAAAGAACTCGATGTCTTTGGTCTGCTAAGTAAGCTTGACATAGGTAAATTCACGGGGCCCGATGAATTACATCCCAGGCTACTGGAGGAACTATCTAACTTCGTTGCAAGCCTTTTAAGTACATGCTTCAACCTATCCGCAACGCAGGGTCGTTTACAAAAAGACTGGAAGAACGCCATAGTAAGTCCTGTCTGCAAAACAGGTGCTAAACACAAACCTGAGAATTACCAACCCGTTAGCCTAACTAGCGTGGTTGTT